CTCAAGATGACACAATAGTAAACTCTCATTTGGGAGGATTAATGGTAATGGAAAACTCAAGTTTCCTCCCCATCTGCAGGGTGGACGTCCTCTTGGACGCAGCTTATCGGCGAATGTTTATTATAATTTATGCTGTTATTTGGATCTTTTTTTGGGTCTACGTAAATATTTTATTATGTAATTTAATACATTTTTGGCTAACAGTAAATGCGGGCCAAAGAAAATATTTGTTGAGAATATCCTGTCTCATATAATATAATAGGTACAATAAGACCTACTTGGTACATAGTAATTATATGACAGATTTGTGGATAATATATAAACAAAGTAAATAATTTTCGAATGGCCATATCAGATACTATTATTGCTAAATGTTTTGTAATAGTACTTTATTCTTAAATATTCCCTGTTGGATGACTTTTGATCTCTCCGTAGTTTCCCACGACATCCGATATCGCACGCGTGGCGTGAGCGTCGAGTCTGACTCGAGTAATTGCGATCCGATAACTACATTATACCGCGACATGATAAATATCAATACGATTCAACATTTTCTGATAATTATTATTTATATATAATATTATTTGGCATGTTTGGCTCAGTTTGTAGTGACCCTACTTGCTGTGCCAGCGGTCGTAAGTTTGAGTCCCGCTGGATTCACTTGTGTGATGAGCACGAATGTATGTACTCCAGTCATGGGTGTTTATATCTATAATATGTATGAATTTAAAGTTATATATGTGTAGTGTACCAACTATATGGTATACATAACATAAGCTTCGTAGCTTACCATGGAACTAGATGGTGCTGTGTGTTAATGTCCCAACATGTTTATTTATTTTGTATGTTTATTATTATTTAACCTATGTTTAGGTTACACAATATACAAACATAGTATAACAGCTGGTACTTCTAAGTATATTTTAAACTAGCTAATTAAGTAATTGAAAAAAACTTATAATTTCACCCATATTCATATTACAATTTGTCTGTTCAAAAGAAATACTGTCTTCTCAGTTGTATGTTTGGTTGTAATATATAAAGTCTTAAAAATTTTCCCGTCCAAGCCTAGGAACTGAACATATTGGGTGTTTTCCAATTATAGCATTAAAGCGCACTATGCGGCATAATGCTCAACTTCGAATTTTTCAACTACAGCAAGGTTTCGCACAGTCAAGCACTTTGAAAAGAACTGCTTTGGCGTGATGCGCGCAACTCAGTAGCAGAAAAAACTTTTTAACAAAAAAATAAAAACCGACTTCAAACAAAAGCACTAAAAAGTAAAAAATAACTGATTAGTAGTTTTCATTTACTATACATACCTAATCAAATATTTTCGAAGTCGGTGTGCTTTGCTTTATATGGGCTGGCACCGATTTCGAAAATATTTGATTAGGTATGTATTTAATAGGTAGGCTTTAATTACTTAGCCATAGCATCATTTTTCCACCCTTAGGGGTGGTTTTTTTTTGAAACTTAAATGGGACCAATCTGGAAGTATACACTTTCAAACAACACAAAAATTGAGTTCTGAGGTAACAAACATAAAAAAAATACAGTCGAATTGAAAACCTCCTCCTTTTTGAAGTCGGTTGAAAATAAGAAGTGTTCTTTACGCGTTGTTCGTGTTTGTGCACCCAAGTGTGGCATTATGCTCTGTAATTGGAAAACAGGGATTGATAGTGGTTTGGTAAATGGTGCTCATATATTATATTAGTCAATTAATATTTGAGAAAATTACAAAGACTATCCTAGGATTTACACCTTTAGCAAGATAATATTCTACGATCGTCATTGCTAATAGAAACCTAAAGAAATTGTACAAGTCATAAAATATCTAAGCGTTATATGTCAAATTAATCGTTTCCATATTTTGTTTATTTTATATCGTAGAAATCAACTGGATAAGGAAGGCTTATAACAAATGGATAATCGTGACAATAAAAGCTAAATAGTTAAAAAGATACAAAAGATTGACAACAACAAGTACAAGCGAAGCTATAAATGACAAAACATTTAATTTTTTCCCACACGTTAAATGTAGAGACCGCAAAAAACTTTCACCCGAATCACAGACGGTCCCGCCCATTCCCGGAATCGAACTCGCGACCCACAATGTGTTGCGAAATTACAACTTACGAGAGAAGCCCGCCTTTATGAGAGTGGTTTAGGCAAAAAAATATAGAATTACACATTTTAAATGAGTTAAAAGTCCAGAAATTTATGTAATAATATAAAAGCGAAAGTGTCGTTATTTTACAATCAACAAATCATCATAATTTCATGTACAGATGTACCTTGTTTCTACTTTTTAAAGTGTTTATGTCTATTTTTATCTATGCATACACACCGTTGAATAAATTTTAATGAAATTTTGATATGGTCATCTGCATATGTCTAATACAATTCACCTGCGGCCACAGCCGCAATCATATCAGGTTTACTTTTAAAATTATACTCCGTAGATATCCCACACTTTCACCATACTGTCCCATCGCGTGTCCATGACACTTAACGGAATTTATTGGAAAATAATTACAACAAAAGGTGTTATTCTGATGATCGTTAGCCAAATGGTGACTGACAGTATTCACTAACGATACAAAATTATGCCCCCGTCCGTGGATAAACAAAATTATAACAAATATGAAATTGTTAAACCCATTTCTGACACTCGTGCATATGGTGTGAACGCATTAGTAGCTGCTTCCTGTTCCTTTAAATGTGCTGGTCATTTCAAATAACAAGATTTGTATATTTCTCAGTAAAAGTATAGCAAAATTCGTCTTTATAGTGTATCTTTGCGTGGACGATTACTAAAAACAAAATTTATAGCACACATTTTTGTGTTAGAGATTCTTACCCAACGTGCTATGGCTGGAGTTGGAAATAATCATATTATTTTAGTAGGCAATTCAAACATGTTTAACCAAATATGATGCGATAATTTAAATGTAAATTAGGAATGAGAAAGATCAATGGAATCGTGCATCTAACATCGGTTCATACATTTTGTGGGGAAAGTGTCCAGAATTTGGGTAACATGTGTAAATTTAGGAGACCTGACCATCGTCACTCCGCTTCTGTAATTGAAACTGGCGGCGGACATCTGTTTCAAATACAAATTCAAATTCGCCGTCTGTTCGGTTTCTTTAATGATTATTGAAATTGCCACTCGGTTATGCGAGGTCTATTTTTGTATGGAATTTCTTGATGTTCCAAACATTTGCAGTCGTTGTGAATCTGTACAGGTAAATAGTTTTGAATTATTATATTATGATGGCAGTAGGTTTATGGTAGAATTTTATATGATATGATGATCTTTAATATTTTCTATTTCTTTATCACCTATATTCTATAGCATATAAAGCCCAAATATCACTCACTAACTGACTGATTAATACTGATATCTCAAAAATTATTCAAAGACATGGAATTTTATCAAATTATAATTTGTGTGATGACATTTACTTTATTAGCGTGATAGGGTAACGCTAGTAAATGTCATATTACAATTTTTAATTTTAATTTGATGTTACTTTACAACAATAGGTAACTTATAATTGATCCCGTTCCATCTTGGGTTTGTTGCAAAAAGTAGTTATTTTGAAAAGATCTAATTGATATTTTATTTTAAAATCGTTAGCCTAATTATTTTTTAATTCCGATTCGAAATTTGGTTTTAGCCTTAGGCTTCATATTCAATTAGGTGGTACCATTATTTTAAATTAAAACAATCGTGTGTCGTAATCAAGCACCTAAAGATCGTTAGAGCGCAATCTCTTTTGTATATGAACAGTAATTAAATACTTTTTTAGTTACAATAATATATCAAAGGAAATTAGTGCGAGTATCAATCAAAGCTTTAAAATGTTTAAATTTGTGATTGTTAGGTGACTGAGTTTAGTTTAATCTATATACCACTATAAGATATTCAATTTTAATGTTATTCCATATGTTGCCTTTAATAAATTTCAAAATTTCGTATACTATGTGTATGATTATAGAATAATAGCAGTTATGTTTTAACGCTTAGTATAAATTTCTCAGAGATGAGATATTTTACCGCAGTAAAAAGTATCTTAAATGTTGACCCGGATAACCATCTATCATCATACGAAATTTCATCAAAATCTGTCCAGTGGTAGCTTGAGGCGGTCACAGACAGACACAAAAATTCTAAAAACTATAGATTCGGACTCTGTATCGATAATAATGACTATTTCAAATAAAATATTCAATAAAATATTCAATGTGCAGATTTGACTCAGAATTTTATCATAGGTATGTATAGACTATATGGACATTTTTGCCAGTTTCAAGACAAGAGTACAGGATTTCTCCAAAACGGTAGAGTATCTTCTTTTGTGAAACCTTATAACTAGAGATTTTTTTCAAGATAACACATACTTTAAGCTAATCAAGTAAACGTTGGAATGTCAACAAATAATCAAATTAGCATTAACGAATCACGATAATAGGCTAATTTGAGCGTATCGACTATTATGGCCAGGTGTCGTGTAATGGCAGAGTGGCGTGCGCGCGCGCCTCATTACCTAGCGAAACGACGGAAATTGTGAACCTATTTGTCTATATATGTGAAGAATCGCTGGGTAGATGGATTCTGTCGAAATTGAAGGCTTAATTGCTTGTAACAACTAATCAACTGTTTCTTTAAACATGAGAACTGTATATGTCATTAAATGATATATATATATATATATATATATATATATATATAGGTATAAAATATGTAGTGTCAGTGTGTATATAGAATAGGTTCTTTAGAAATCCCATAACTAAAGGAAAGCTACTTTAGATTTTGTTATCTACCCTTATAAATAATGTATTATGTAAAAATAGATGCGACATATTTTTATTTATTTACAACTTTAATATTTATTTCGTTTGTCTATTTTTCTTCTTATTATTATTATTATATATTGCATATATTAACTATGAAAACAAATTATTAATAATATTACTTTGTTTGTTAACAGAGGCCACCTTCATCGTCACTTTCGTACGGTGGCGCAGTGAACGACGACGTGCGCTCACCAGGCTCTGGTGGCACGCCCGGCCCTCTCAGCCAACCCCCGCCGCAGACGCTCGACGCGACGGATCCTGGTAAGTTCATTATGTAACCACTAGGACAGAATGAATCGGAGGAGAATCTATTTGGATAATATTTATAAGAAACACGTTATTCATTAGAAAAAAAGTGTAAACGGTGTTAATCTGAATAAGTATAGCATTAAAGTCATCGGAAATTTTTAATCATAAACCTATTGGGATAAGCCAAAGCTACTGTAATAATAGAATGAGTATTTATGATTTCTAGGTAATTTGTCTTTACGAGTAAGCTAAGTGTGATTGCGAGAGCATTAAACGATAATAAGGCGTTGTAAATCTGCATCTTTTGTTGCTGCAGTCAATGGAAAAATCCACAATCGTTAATGATAAAGTGAACTACATATAATATTGTTTGACCAAAACCTCAACATTCGATTAATGCAGATAAAATGCAATCACACTCTGCACCAACGTTTGCAATGAAATGATAATGCGAATCATTTCCGATAATAAGCGACGTAAGCATAAAGGTCAAGGGGCACGCGGTGACAGGTTTTTAATGAGTCGGCAATAGGGCGTGTGTCTCCCACGCATGCCGTACTTAACAATTAACATGTCCACACACCGATCTAGATCAGACGAGATGCGTCAACACCAGTCAAGAACCAATTTAAAACTGACAGCCACACTTCGTCACGTCACAATCTTCTGTCACCTAAGGAAGCTGAGAATTCAAAAGAAGTCCCCGCGCGCTCAGAACAAGTGTCGACGTTCAAAAATCAGCGGCGAGCGTCAAAATCACTCGTCGCACAGTGCGACATACTACGTTATGAATTCCTATCGATTGTCATGTATCTCGTACGGAAATGACGGATGAGTGCGTTTTGTATAAGCAGTTATGACGTTTCGGTCCCGCCGCCTACTACAATGCCCATTGAAATGAGCCGAGCAGTATTGTGAAGCATGTATCGACGCATCTCGTCCGATTATCGCTTTCATATGCCTATGCAATGCGTAATTTGCTGGATTACATTGTGTATTATTCAAAGTAGATTTAAATTATAAACGCAAAGGTGTGATTTCAAAAGACGCAATCGCCGGCGAGCTTTTGACAGCTGTCAAAAATAGCGATAGTGTTGGCGCGAAACTAACAAAGCGTCAGTGATTGTTTTTTTTTGATATTTTCACATATTTTTGTTTCGTGGAAAAATTATGTTTTCGACACGCGTTTGTGTAATTGTTTGGTTTGTCGCACGGTTTTGTTGGCGAGAACGTTGCAGAATGGGCTAAATTGAATTTTGGTGAGCCGATGCAAGGATTCATAAATGTAAAATAAACCTTAAAATGTAAATAACGAAATTCCCCTTGATTTTCACACGCGAGCTCCATTTTTAAACAATTTAACTCTTTCCAGCTTACTGTTGTTATTTAAAATAGGTTTTTACCAAAACTCTCATAAAACATTAAAACTCTAACCAGGATGTCACTTGACCCAGCCCTTGACTAAAGGGCTAACTTCTGTAAATTATTCAAAATTCCAAATTTCCCTATAATTCAATCATGGCTTGCCTCCCTGGGGGTTGGAGGGGCGGAGGGGTTGAGGGGGTGATTATTTGCGAATTTAATATTAATTAACTGACGTGCTCGGCACATAATTGCGTTTTTCAATTATAGCTGACAATTATGCGATGAAATTCGGATGAGCCGAGATGATTCGGCTAATTGTCTGTCGGTGTTTTTTGTTGGATTAAATATATTTCATGTATGCATTGTTTGAATCAATTATGAAGTGTACCTACCATAAACTTAATGAAATATTTTAATTATATTTTTAAGTATAATAATACTTATAATAAAATAATATTTTGAATACACTTTTAAAAGTGTTGTGATGACATTTAATATGTAAGCTAATGACAACTGACTTAAATTAGTAATTTGATGTAGTTTTATGTGACATGAAACATTTTTTATCTGTTAACCAAATTAAAAGTTTTAATTTTTAATTTCTTCCATTGAATATAGCTCCTACTAAAATTAGTTGAAGCTCATGTCTTTAAGAATAATTTCCCTGTTACGAGATACATCAAAATATTTTTTTTAATCTTAAATATCTTTCCGTCTTTGCAAAGATCTTATCTCAGTTCGACATAAAAACAAAATGGAACAGCTAAATTATTTTTAGAACAAAACAGCACGTAGAAAAAAACCACTAACCATTAATCCGAAACCCGAAACGCTAAGTGTAATTCGTAGACAATACGATTATCGCGTTACCGGGGAGTTCGGGGCGAGTTGGTTCTAAATAAAATTATCTCAACTTGTTCGTTCCCATTCTCGTCATAACATGTCATGGCCCTATTTTAAGGGGACACATTGTTGTTATTCGACGCACGTGATGACCACTTGTGTTGAATTCTTATCTTGTTCTAGTCATTTTATATGGTTTATCTCGGGATGCACTGCTAATTTACTCCATATATCTATTGAAGGTTAGTTATGCTTTGAAGAAAGCTATTTTTTTGTATTTATATTTATTTATGAATTTACATTTATGAATGAATCATTTCATTTTATTTCTCATCATTTTATTCTACTGTTTTACTTGTAAGTTTTGTCGTAAGTCATAGATTATACAAATGAAATTACTGAAGATAGTTTTTTTTTAAAAAGCATTGACTTTAGTACGTGTTTAAACAAGTGGTGCAAATATAATTAAAATAATAAATTCATTGGCACATCGCGACCGTCACGCGCCTCGCCGCAAACGGACGGAACGAAAGATTGAAATCGATTCGCCTCTTTCACGCTTGTCCATTTGGCTGCTTTGTTTACTTTTTATTGATTTTTTACACTAATTGTAGCAAGCCAGTAATTGTTAATAGTATTTCATTTAAAGTTTGAAGTAGCTGATTACATTTCTAGCAAACAAGTTAGTTTTGCAACTTTATAATTAAGCAATTAAAGTTAATACTTTGTTATATTTAGAAGAAAGTTATTTAGTAACTTAAATTGGGCTTTTAGATTACTACGTTAAATAAACTACCAAAAATCTATCATTCCATGAAACGATAAACCCTTAATCTATGTACCATGACGAAGCATTCCTAATTCCTCCAAGTTAGCCAATAAACCATTCTCTAGGGCCTCACCTTATCAATATTTCAGGCACAAAATTGAAAATTACTAGGACCCCGGACTTACATAACTCAAACCTATCGAATCCAATAAAATATTAACTGGTAACGATTTCCCGCTGTTTTTCACTGGGCATCGACATTCGCGTCACGTCGCCCGCACTTACACCAGTGCTAAATGTAATCATAAAATTTGTTGTTAATAATTCACGCAGGAACGGGACGGGTGTAGCCGAATAGGTGGGATTATTAAATTCTGTGAATGCTCACTTTGTATCTAATATCCGAACGTGGTTAATATTAGATTAGTATGGGGCGAGTTGCCCCGGCATCCCCGGGGCGTGGTTCTGATAGGTTCGGAGCTTTTCCGAGTATTATGATTGGTTGGAATGTCTCATTTGATAATGGAAACTTAGATCGCGTGTTAAAGAAAAATGTTATAAATTGTTACGTATGATTTGTTTCTCGAACTGTAGATGTTGTAATTGTAGGCAAAAATAGGATTGATATAAATGTATCTAATGTAATAGCTCCTGCAAGTTATTTATAGTGATTATCTCACATTTGCTATAATAAATGCATAATTTGCCATAATTTGTAATATATATGTAACATTTGTGGAGTACTTTCTTTTGGTATTCATTGGCCATCTGTGTGCCACCATATTATTTTAAAAAGATCCAAAAGAAGCTTTTAAAGTAAAATCATGAATTAAAATTTCACTTCAAAAATATTATTTGATGTATAAAAATGGGAAAGGATTCGAATAGGGTATAAACCTTTAGATATAAAAGCATTAAGCTCTATACGATTTGCAATGAAATTACAATACGGGGTGATTGTATTGTTGTACCCTTTGATGTTTGCCGGCTGATCCGTGGTAATTGTTGGGATAATATATCGAGGGATAGTCTGTTTGTTTGTCCGTGAAATGTAACTAGAGCAATCTTGTATTATAAAGTTTTGAGTATTACATATAATGTTATGGACTTGTACAGTGGCAACAACGATGGTACTCTTTACTGGAAGGTAGTGAATTTAAGTCCTCTTTTGATGCAAATGTTAATTTTTTATTATTTTTAATGTTTCAGTGAAATCACATTACCTATTAAATAATATTTTAAAACTTAAGAAACGAGTAGAGAAGTGGCTTATAGATTCAAAGTAACGTATATATGTAGTTTTAAAATTTAAATATATTATTTAAAGCATAATGAAATAAACTATGTACTTATTTAATATTTTAGACAAGTCTCTATCATTGCCATATTTATTTATATCTATACATATAATAAAATTATAACTAAGTCGAATCTGTACATTAAATATTTTTTGGAAAATCTTATTTAAATAAACATTATTATCGATACAGAGGCCGAATCTATAGTTTTTAGAATTTTTGTCTGTGTGTCTGTCTGTTACCGCATCACAGAAAAACCACTGGAGGGATTTTAATGAAATTTGGCATGGTGATAGCTGGTTATCCGGGTCGACATATAGGATACTTTTTACATCGGAAAATGTATCATTTCTGAGAAAAAATACAAAAGCTGCAATGTAAGAGTATACTAATATGTAAAACTTAAGAATTTGGTTAGTGGTCATCTGAACGCGGGCGGAGCCGCGGGCAATGCTAGTTATAAATAATATTCAAAAATTGTAAACAAAAAATTAAATAATTCGTATAATAATACAAATAAAACTAATACAATTCAAAGTGAGACGGTGTATATAATTTTTTTACCATCAAAAGGGTGAGAATTACATCCACGAACAAAAAGCTGTCAAAATGACAAAGTGATTCGTCATACAAATGACAGCTGCATGTAAAAGGGAGAAGAGAAAGGGATGAACAAATTGACAATCATAACTATCGTGTTATAGTTAAATCTTGTAATGTAGAAAATATACTACAAA